CCCCAAAACCCCAAAACCCCAAAACCCCGAAGTAGAAGAATTGATTGAAATGATACAAGGGCAAATAATTTTAGTAAATAACAATTGATGAATGACTTTTTGACTATAGGTACCAACTCAGAGATTTATCTGGCTAGTGTGAGCTGAGGTCAGACAAGTAGGGTTCTGTAAAATGTAGCCAGCTTTGCTTACTGCGATACTAGTTGACTGCGAAGTTTTATTGCTAGTCACTGATGTTCTCCTCATTGACATGTGGTTTAATTTCCTTTTGAGAGATTTATTTTCTTGAGACAACTCGTTCATTTGTAGTTTCATTTTCTAGAATTCGTTCTGGTAAGTCTTGACAAACGCAATCATCTTAAATTTCATAATCTCAAGCTCCTTCATATCACCTAAACTGTACTTTTACTGATTTATCCTGTTTGGAATGGTATTTTCATCGCTTATCATTGATGAAAATGGATATCTTGTAATTGGTGATTATGCTTGGTTGTAAGTGAAGCAGGTATTCTTGCTCTGTGATGAAATGCCACTTTGCCTCTTTATGAAGTTCTAATTCTGCTAAGACTGTTTCTATGAACTTAAGTTTTGATTATTCTAAATTTAGAAAGTAAAGGGAATAACTGGTGCACCCCCAACACTATCGATTTACGAGTTCTCAAACTAAATTTAAGGCTGCTGGTAAAAGTTTATATTTGAGTCAGCATCTTTAAGGAAAAAGTTCTCTTTGTTGTTTTCTCTTTCAGTTGAGATGTCCCCATGCGCAGTCCAGCATCTATTAAGGACTCTTTGTTTTTTCTAGACATCAATTACACTACCTGAGTATTGATGATTCTGCTTTGATTCATTTCTATATATCAGCTATTCAGTTTCAGTGAATGGGAAGTTTATGTTAGAGGATGAGACATCTTCCTTATTATTGAGGTAATTCGAAGGACTTCTTTTGGAAGGTATATTCTGATGATGTGATGTAGATTTAGGAGATTGCCTTTTGGATTTGAAAATGACCTAATCATCTAAATAGTGGTTGTACTATTGATGATTCGACTCTTCATCGTCTTTCAAAATGAAGTCTCGAAGTTTATGCTGTTACTGCTAATTGTTTTAAGTTGAAGAAGGGTAATTCCCCATTTCCATATTTTTATCAAGAGTTTAAAACAAGCCATTTATCATAGGTTTCTAGGTTTAAACAGAATTTTCTAGCTAAGATTACATTCTTTTGTGCTATGCTTTACTATTCATCATTTTGTTCTCAAGAATGCAAGTCGATATTTTTTCACTTGACTTGTGATGATGATGGTGGCTGACTTTGTTTATTCCAGTCTTATTTCTAGCAGAAAAACTAAATATTTCTGAATGCTTCACTTTAGCTGTTTAGCTTTAATGAGTATTCTATCCAGTCTTGCTTAGATCAATATTTTTCAGATATTAAGTATCCTAAGTAGATGAAATCATACCAGCAGCAGCTGTAGCTAAGCTTGAAGTCAACCCTAAATTTCCTATAACTCCTGTTTCCAAAAGTAATTTCTTCAGCTCCTAAGCGTTTCGAGTATAACTAATGCCTTTAGTCTTCTTTTATCTTTATTAAGTGTCCATCATAATATGATTTTCTATTTCATTGCAAGATGCTTGCTATCTATCAGTTAAAAACCCTTTATTAACTGATTCCTCGCTATCTTTTGGGGCTTAGTGGATCAATTGACCTTTCATATTTTGATTGTGATTTATCATTTTCTTGTAATCCTTTTTTAGAGAGTAATCTTGTGCCTCACTGCTTTATGAGGAATTAGGCAGTAAGTAATCATCTTGCTCAAGAATAACATTATTACTCTTGGTGGAGTATGGATTTTTTAGACTCAATTTCATTGATTACTTTTTGAACTACTCTTATGGTGATGTTTGAGATGTAATAGAAGGTTGTACAATGAACTGCTTCTGAGGACTGATTCTAATATGCTAAGTAGTTCTCTTCTCTTTTTCTATAGAATTACCTTCATTCTAGGCATTCTTGCTTGTTTTCTAAATGATTTCAATAGATTAGTTCTCCGTGGACTTTACTCTTTCACTACTCATTCTTAGTACATGATTTTGTTACTGTTGCTTTACATTAGATTTATTGTTAGTAGGACTTAGACTCTTTTGATGCTTGTGATGCTGGTTCTTAGTTACACTATTCGAGATATTGAAGTTTACCGTAGTCGATTGTCTATTATGCTTGCCAGTTCTTTGCAATGATCCTTGCTTTTGAGAAGGTGAAAGACTATTTTCGTTTAAAACCTTTTGCTTGCTTTACTGCTTTTTAGCATTAGTTCCATGCAGTGATTATGAACTTTCACACTTTTAGAGCAGACAGCCAGAACCACCAGCTTTTTAGTGAAGTTACTTTAGCTTCTGCTTTGTTTAGTTAATTCCTTATGTTTAAAGTGATAGAGGCAGACTTAGAATAGATTAGCCTGCTAATTTAGGTGACTTGATAAGAGTTATCTATTATTACTGGGGCTGCATCAAATCTAAAATGTAAGTTAAAATTCAAATTCAAAATATAAATACTTTTGGTCGATTAAGTTGTCTTGAGACCCAAATTTACAGCAATCGAACCATTTAAATTGCCTCCCGCAACTGGTGTAATTTAGTTAATAGACTGTAGAGAATTGCTGTAGTTCTATGAGGATATCAGATGATTGATCTACTGAAGTGCTTTCACCATGTTTATGTTTTTCTGGGAATTAGAGGATGAAAGAAGTGGCTGTGGGGAACTCAAAATGGATGGATTATTGCTAGGCTAACATAGAACTTTAACCTTTTTCAGATTAGCCCTCTATTGCTGGTTTTCAATGCCTTACATATTCATAATCCCTATGCTGCTATTAGGTCTCTCTATAATTTACTTAAGTCAATGAACTTTTATTATTGAAGCAGATCCATATCTAAATTTTGTAAACTTACTTTGCATTTTTGTTTGATTATTTGTATTAGTTTGATATAATTTTAAATTAAAATAATAACTTCTTAACAATTATCATCACTATCACAACAAAATTCTTCATATATATTTAATGCCTTCTCTCCACCCAGTAATTCATTGAGACATAAGAGCTTTCTTGAGAAAACCCTCAATCATGTTAGAGTAGCCAGTGAACTACTAGTCGCTCAGTCTTTTCATAAGACTATTGTTGATTTTTTCCACATCTTTGCGGCTAAGTCCCTTTATGCTATCATTTACATATCTGAGGTCTTCCTTTCTTTAGAGACTTAGGGGGTTTTACTTATCTCCAGCTACTGGCTATATCTTCTGAGTATTGAACTCTTATGCAAGGATTTATTCTTGCTCATTAATAAGTTGTACTTAAATGATATCTTTCATGTTAGAAATCTCATCGATTTCATGGTTGAAGAAAGACTTAATATGAGCCTTATCACTCATGTAGAAATTATCTTATTCTATCTCCTTCTTTATGTCCTTCTTGATTTGGTCTCTTAAGGTTGAGCCTAGATTGCTTTCATGGTTTGAACTCTTCTGTGATTTCAATTCTTCAGTGGGCTATTTCTTAACTTGCTTCTTTGCTTCTTCTTCTTCTAGCTTTTTCTTTCGCTCCTCTTCCTCCTATTTCTACTTGGCTCTTAATTTTTCTGCTTCTGCTTCTGCTAGCTGCTTTTTCTTTAGAATTTCATCGTCTATGTCTTCATCTTCTTCTTCCACATCTTCTTCAATTACTTACTCTTCCACTATTTCCTCCGATTTCTTTCTTTACTGTTCTGCTAGTTTCCTCTTTTCCTCTTCTGACTTCTATCTTCTCAATTTTTCAGCTTCCTCTTTTTCCAGCTATAGTTACAATTCTCTCTTCTTTTCTTGCTCAAGAGCTGCCTTCTGTTTTTCTTCTTCTAATAGTCTTGCTTTTTCTTCTTAAAGTTTTAGTAGTTTGTTTTTTTCATCTTCCTCTTGTTTTAACTATAACTCAAGTTGCTTTATCTTCTTCTCCTCATTTTCTTTTATCTTCTCTTATTCCTCTTTTAGTTTTCTTTCAAATTCCTCTCTTAGTTTTTACTCTTCTTAAAGCTTTTTCTAATAATCTACTTAGGCTTACGAGTTCAATTGATTCATCAGCTCCTCCTCTCGCTCCTTCCTTAGTTTTTCTTCTTACTTTCTCTTTTACTCCTCCTCTTGCAATTTAGCTAGTATTTATGTCTCAGTCTAAGATTTGAGTTGAAGCTGTTTCTCGTAATCTTTTACTTTTTACTCTAATTCCTGTTTAACTTACTCGTTTTACTTGAATTTATCATCGAATTCGTTTAGTTTCTATTAAAAGTATTCACTATTCTTGCTTTAATTCTGCTTCTTTTTATCTCTTTCATCTTTTCTGCGAGATAGTGCATCATTTACATACTACTACATCATATCCTTTATGGTGCTTGTCTGCTATTGAAACATCTCAGACCACTTCGACTTCAAATCCTCAAGACTCTTGGCGGGCTTGTTCAATGAATCCTAGATTTTTTTCTATTCCTCTTCATTTTTCTATTCATAGTTCTCAAGCATTGACTTGATTTGTTGGAAATTCTGTTTGTCCTTCAGAGTAGAAATCTCAGTTTCTAGCTTTTTAAAATTATCTACAAGTGATCCAAATAGCTCTCCCTTAATCTTATCAAATAGCTCCTCTTAGTTAATTTATTGTTATTTCTTAATTTCAGCGATAGTCTACTGATTTTATCTTTCGTTGAGAGATCTGTCATAGTTTGGGTCATTCATATCTGCGAATTCTCTGAAGAAATCTACCTCAGGATGGTGTCTTTGATAATGCTTTTGCAAGTATTACTTGCTTAGGAAAAACTTGCGACAACTTTTGCATTTAATCACATCCTGCTCCTGTTCCACTGGCAACTTCATCAGATACTCGTAAGTGCTTAAAGTCTTTTGTTTCAGCTTTAACTCTTTTCTAATTATCTTTAGTTCTTGTTAGTACTTACGAATCATCTCCTCAGTTTTCATAGTCTTTTCATAAGTTTATCTGTATTCAACATCTAAATTTTTGCAAAGACTTTCCATGTAGTTTTAGGTGTAGAGCAAATACTCGATTGAATACTAACTAAGTCTGAATAGTTTAATGAAGTGCATGTCACCAAGTCTTTCAAGGTCATCTCTATCTAGCTAAGCAAAGGTAATATTCTGCAGAAGTGCTTCCAAAGTCTTTAAATCTACCTCTTTTGAGATCTTATCAAGATCTGTATTCATGAGTGCTCTCCAGTTTATTCTGCCAGTGCGTTCCTAAAAGCTAAACTTAGGGGGAAGTGGCAGCAGATTAGATGCAAATAAGTTTTCTTTGGATTCTCTCACTGGAGCAAAGGAAGATGGGAAGTTACCCAGAGACTAGGCATTCATATTTTGAAAGGACTGAAGCACATTCATGTAAGAAACTTGTTAAAATGTTGTCATTTTAAAATACTATTTAAAATTTTAAATTAAGAGTATATTTTAATTATCAAACAACAACATTTGTAAGTTAATCTCATTTACATAATTCCAGAAAGCTATCTCATCTGCTTCTTCTGTTCGAAACTAGAAAACTCGTGTTGAAGTATTCTTCCTTCATAGGGTTGAAGTTATTTTAGGTAGTACACCAGCTTTGCAAAGCGAAGAGGTCTACGAACTCAGAAGTCTTGTATATCTCAGCTTGAAGGCCAGTTATTTTTTAATAGGCGTGCTTGAGGAAGTTGAAATCAACAGGGAAGCATATATCAGCCTCGCCTCTAGGTATCAAATAGGTGTCATATGTCTCCCATTGAGTTGGGTCTTTGAGTTTATTTGTAACGAGTGGAGCATTGGTGCCGTTAATTGATTTCCTTGGCATAAGGAAGGAGTCAAAGTCTGCTAGCATTAAGCAGTGGTCAGGGATGTAGTGATTGATGTGCTTGATCATGCGGAGAGCTTGAGTAGGGGCAAACACATTGTTGGTTATAGATTCCTTGTGCCTAGCTATTCTGAATGTCTCTTGAATTCGCTTGAACAGTCCTTCTTGTTTGAGGATCTTTGAAGCAGTGATATGATCTCGAGTGGGCATAGTCTGGTACAACTCCACAAATAACTTGGACAACTCATCATTTACCTAGGACACCTCAACTTGCTAATCAGACAGAATCTCTTTGCCAGTCTCATCGTAGTCTATATTTACTTGAATCTGATGGGTTAGTTTTGTGCCTTCTTTATTCGTGTAAAAGCGATCGTGAGGCATGTTGTCCAATACTTCCATGCCTATCACGAAACACAGAATGCCTGGAGAAATTTTACGCTGAAAATCAAGTATCGACCCATTGAATATCTTAATACGATTTCTGTTCCAGAGATCTCTGTGGTTTTGCATCATGAGTTTCTCGCACTCAGCAGCTAGCTAAGGCGAAATTTCAACGAATATGTACTCGCATTCTCTGTACAAATCTAGATTGTAGTTTTTGAAGAAGTCGAGCACTGAGTCGGCCATTGATCCTGTGCCTGGCCCTATCTCCACCACCCTCAGTGTTCTCTGCTTTCTGTCCTCTAGCTAGTTCAGCATGTAGTTAGCTACTGTGTAGCCGTAGTAAGGTTTGAATAGCTCGCACGGAGTCACCCACTGATTCTCTGGGTACAAACGCTCCATTTCCTTTCTGAAGTCGTAATATCCTCGCAACTTAGAGAACTTTATTGCCTCTCTCAGTCTTCCGACCTGATGGGCGTCCTTTGTGAAGTAACCTCCTGGCTAGGCATAGAGTCTGTCGTGAATGAAGTCTCGCAAAAGCAGCTTTTTTGGCTGGCTCTTGAGCAGAGTTTACTGACCTTGCTGGAGAATTGGTTTCAGCTATACTATTTTAGATGCAGTCGAGGACATTAAAAATTTATAATGTGATTATTAATTAATTTAGAATTATATTTTCAAAATTTAGGTGATCTGAGTAATTGGTCAGTGCCTTCCAACTTCCTTTTTCATTTTCTGCATATACTCCTCTTCGGCCAACAAATCCTTCTGCTCTTCTGACAAATGTTCTTTTGGATCAACTCCATTCTTCTTCAGAATCTCTAGGAATTCCTTGGTTGCTTTTATCTTTGCCAGATTCGAGTTGCCCTTGCCACTGTGCAGTCTATCTATCAACAACGGCATTCCCCTGATTTTCTCCTCACGTTCTCTTGCTTTTTACTGCGCCTCCTTCTTTTGATCTCTTGCTTCCTTAGCTCTTTTATCTTTCAACTCCTGTATCTTGTCGTTGTCATTAGTCACTCTATCCTTCAAAGCAGCCTGCACAGTTCCTTTCAGCTAAAATATACTTAATTAATATTCTCTATCTTACCCTATTCTGCCTATGCAATCTCTCCTCATCTTCCTTTTTCTTCGCTTCTTCAGCTTTCCTCTTGGCTTCAAGTTCTTCTCTGCGTCTTTGCATTGCCAAATTCATTGAATTGGTGCTTGATGGGTTCTCCACTACCTTGTCAGTTTGAGTTGCTTGCTTGGCGATGCTCTTATGCAAGGCTTGCTTGAACTTATCCATCTATGCATTTGGAGGCTAGTCATTCAGATACTCACGTTCAAGTGCTTTTGAGCTTGTCTTCGTAAAATTTGGACTCCTTGGTCTTGTTACCTAAATCTAAGATTTCTTTTTGTTTAGTTTCTGGTTGAATTTTTGTTAAGCCTTCTCGAATTACTCTTTAGTAACGAGTTCGTTGATCTTAGGCTTGAAGGAGTAGCCTAGTTAGTCATATAATGACTTCTAGACATTGTTCTACGACTCCTATTTCATCTTCTCTTGATGCATTTGCATTCTATCTGGCAACTTGGCCTTGCTGAAATTCAACTCAGCTTATTTCCTTATTCTTTCTTATCTTTCCTCTTCTTGTCTTTTCATCATCTAGTCAAATATCAGTACTGAGCAAGCTCTGGGAATTGGATTAGCTTTAAAATCAGGTTTCTTCAAATCATAAGGTAGGTATTCTTCTTGATCTGGCTTTTTCATATTTTTGTCTCTTTCATAGAATGAGAATGGTGCTTCTCTCTCCTTAAGTATCTACAATGAATTCTTTTTGACTTCCATTCTTCTATGTTCATTCTACTCCATAATCGTTTTGTATCGAGGAATAAGTACTTCAGGTGGGATAGGATTACTTCTAAATTAGTGCTTTATGATATTTTCTTCTTTAATTTTCTTCTCAGCTATCATTTCCTCAACCTTTTTTTCTCTAATTGATTTCTTTTTTGTCTTATCTCTGACATCAAACTCAAATGGCTTTGGAACAGTTACTCCATATTTCCCTTTCTTTTTCCTAGATAGTGACCTGTCATGATTTATGTAGTCTTAAGTAGTCAACTTAGCACTCCTAACATTATTTTCATCAAATTTTTATCGATCTCCTTTTGCAGATTGAGCTCTTTTTCTTTTTTCTGAATGATTTCCAGCATTACCTCCTCCAAATTTGTACTCTCTTTTTGCTGTTCTAAATTCTGGATCAGATGAATAACCATTCGGATATTAACCATCATCGTCATAGTCATTTTCATCTCTCTCTATTTCATCATCATATTCATCGTCTTCTCCCTCATCTCTGCTATTGTCTAAGAACCTATGACCTCTTCTTCCTCGATGATCTTAATCCTCATCATCATCATATTCCTCAAGATCTCTTTCAAATTTTTATTCTTACAATTTCTTGGCAGCTTCTTCACTCTTTTGCCTTATCTCAAATTCTTCAAAATCTTCTTTATCTTCTAGATCTTCCATTAATCTGGCAAGTCTCCTTCTTTCAGCCTCTTCTTCTGCTCTTTTGCGATCTTCTTCTTCTTATCTCGACCGCTTATCATCATCAATAAGCTTATTAATTTCTTCTTTAGTTAAAGGCCTACCTCTTTTTGTAAAATACTCTACAATAGTTGACCAATCTATCTGTTTTGATTAAATCTCATTTTCCATTCTGTCAAATACTTGTTGGAATGTTTCTCTAGGAATTCTAGAATATCCTTCAGGGTCTCTAGCAATCGCAGAAGCTATTGCTCTTAGCTGTGGATTTTTCCTAGTTGCAATGAAAAAGTCAATGGTGTTTATCATATCTTTGCCACCTGCAACTTATGCTCTAGGTAATTGATCATAGATATCCTTTAATAATTACAGCTATTTCTCTGTAATATCGATTTAATCTGCTGGTCTTAGTTTAGGCAATTCTTACAGCCTTCTAAGTTTCTCCTTTTCCAGTAGACTTTGAATTTCTAATCCTTAATCACTGCCATCTGTAACATTGTTAATTTATCTCTCTTTTTACATGGCTTGCCTTGTCCTTTATATCTCTTTTTATCTTCTATTTCTTTCTTCAATCTCTTTATAGTCATTAAAATATCCCATAAATTCTCGCCATGTAATAAATTCTTTATGATTTATTTGGTTGGAATTCTTTCCAATTTGAGCTAACTCATATACTTCATCCTTTTCAATTTCTGAAAAAACTTCATCAAGTGTGAGAATTTTGTTAGAGTATGGCACTTTAACAGCATCAACATCAATGAATTCTACCACTCTTTCATCGGTTCTTAAAGCCATCAAGTATTCAGCTCTTCTTAGAATTTTATCTTTATACTTATCCATTGCTTCAAATATTTCTTGCATAATAAATGTCTGAGATTACAACAGCAGACATTGTGACTTCTCTCTTTTAATACCTAATTCCTCCAATTACTCATCTTCATTCATATCAGCATCATATTCATAGAGTGGAGCTTTTTTACTTTATTGTTTCTTTGATATACTTTTGTGGCCCATTTATAGCATTTTTTCTTATTCTTTTTTTATTTAAAGTTGTTTAAATTCATCTTCAACTTCATGAGCAGTTTTGTTCATTCTGGTCTCTTATAAGATCTTAAGGCTTTCTGTCATTTTCACAGGTTTTTTATCTGGATCTTCAAATTTAAAATTTGCAACAGCACCAATATCATTTGATCCACCATATCTAGGTACTCCTGCTGATTGCTATTTCTGCTAAAGTGATTTTTGTATTTCAGCTGGATCCTCTGATTCTAGTGTTTCATGATTATTTGCTTCTGGGTTTCCTATCTTTCTCCACCAGTTATCATTACCTTCAATTCTTTGTTATAATGAAGCTTATCTCAAAAAGAAGAAATCGAGAAATTCATCCCATACTAAGCATCCATCTTTAGCTGATCCTGATACTTTTATAGCTTATGCGACTTCGTCTTAATCTTAATATCCGAGTGCTTTCATCAACTCTTCATTTTTCCCTAACTATTTAGTTAAATCAACCTTTGTCACATAAGATCTTCCTTTAAGTTTTGGGTCCTCAATGGATGAATCTCTTTTTATTGCATTAAATATCCACTTTAACAAGAAAAATGTCATTTTATCTTCATTTGAAACACCAAGTGATCGAAATTTATCTTTTCTCAAAGATTATTACTTCCTCTCTTCTTCCATTTATCTTTAAAGAAGCATCTCTTCATCATAATCTTTTGGAATCAATGTATTTGCATCATATGAATGCATTCCTGTCTTTTTAATGAATCTCATTGACGATTTAGCTGGGGAGTCTGGTCCTTTAGTATACCTATCGAAATCCTCTTTCTCCAACTTTTCTAACTTTTTCTCTTATTTATGCTTTTGATCTTTATTTGCTAGGAATTTTTCAAATTTAGCCTCATATAGTTTCCTTCTTGGTGAATCGTAAAAAACTGGCGATTCAGATTTCTTCCTCTTTGCAGATTAAGACCTAGATTGACCACCAAGACTTTTGTTAGGTTTAGTACCTGAATTGTGTAATCCACCAGTTTTTCCTCTCTAAGATGATTTTGGGATTCCTGCTAAGATATCTACCTTATTTCCCTTAGATCTATTGTTATGAGAGAAGTCGTTTTCTTTTTCTTCTCTCTCTCCTCCATCTGCAATTCTTACAGACTTCTTTCTTTTTTGTGATCTTGATAATTTTCCTTCACGATCATCAAAATGATCGGTTTCTAATCTATCAAAATCCTCATCATGTTTTCTTGATGGTGATTTAGACTATATGCTACTTCCAAACCCCATTCTTTCTCTCATTATTCTGCCAACTTAAGAGTTTTCTTTTTTACTCATATACATTTGTTCGAGTTCTTTGAGTCTTCTATCATTCTCCATTCTCATTCTCTCTAACTCGTCTAAATCTAGATTTTTAGTGCTTGCTAGTTGACTTGCTTAATGCCTCATTGCGAGAATTTTCTTAGGACTAGCATCAATTACATGGGCACCCACATCTTCTAATTAAAATTTCATCCTTGCCTAAATTTCTTTATTTTTTTCTTCTTAGGTTTCCTCGACAATTGATATTCCTCCATTTAGTGCAAGTGTTTTACGTAGTTACAAATTTTCTTATTATCTTCTTAGTTTTTCAAGATCTTTTTCAATTCCCTCTACCAAATCTTTTGCCAAAGCAGCTTTGCTATTTGTTCTAAAATGTATTATTATAAGTAAGATGAGCTTACCCATGTCTTCCGATTCCAATACCAGATTCTGAGTTTCCAAGAGCTAATTGTTAAAAAATCTCATCCTTTGTAATTTAACTCTGCTGAGTTCCCTCGAGATCTTCCTCTTAATCATGGTCTAATCCAAGTCCCTTCTTTTTCTGTTTACTTTTTCTAAAATCTTCAGGAATCTTAAAACCACCTGAAAAACCTGTTCTATCCTATAATTTGAAATAAACTTGTTTAGATTTAAATACTTTTAGTATTCTTGGTTGTAATGAACCAAGAGTGTGATCTGGTCTTACTATTTCGTTTCTAACACCAACTTTGGGTGCTTTTGTAGTAGGATCACGTGGTCCAATTCTTAATCCAGTCAAGGACAGACCTAAATCTAATCCACCTATCAAAAATTAGTAAGAACATAATTAATGAGTTATATTTTTGACTTACCTGTTGATTTATTCATTTTCTTCTTGCTTAAATAAAATAATAACAACTATTTCAAATTTAAAATTATTTAATATCGTATGTGATCTATCAACAGTGGGTTTTGGGGTTTTGGGG